CTTCAATAATATTAATTTATAACATACTACTTATTTTCTATCACAAATTAAAATAAATTGATACAACATGAAATGTTAAAACTGTATCAGAAATTAGCATTTTTTGTCCTTTATGAATATCTTTAGCCTCCCAATTTGTTAGAGAATGAGCAAAAATTTTGAAATGAGCAATAACCTACATTAAAAAGTGCTGTAAACATATTGTTTGTTCAGACTAGGTATTGTGGTAACTAATGTTAACATATAAATCCTTGTTGCAAAATATTACTCCATTTTTATCTTATCCTAGCATTTCCATCCAGCATTTTTCAATGTGCCACAGTAAAAAATAAATGACTAGAAAGCGGAGTTGTGATATATATATATTATGATTAAAAACACTGCAATCAGGATGTCAAGATTGGCTCAATATTAAAAAAGTGAATTCATTGCATCAGTCTCAAACTCTCTTAAGCATTTCACATTACTTTTGTCCAGGTCGAATTTCTTTTAAAAGAAACAAATGCATGGCTATCTGAATCTGCTACCGGCATCTCGACAGACGGCTATCTAAACAAGCCAAACTCAGATTATAAGTTCTTCCTCTTCAGTATCAACCTGCTAATGCTCAGTGATGTTCTTCCTTCTCAGCACATCTCACTCTAAGCTCTATATCCTTTGTTTACTCAGTCGATTGAGTCAGGACTGCCCGCTTCCTCTGCGTCCCAACACACCATCGTGTTTTATTAACCCGTCTTCTCTATTGTCTTAAGCAGAGAGAGACAAAGGATCGAATTGATCAATCTCAGGCAAACACAATCAGCTCCCCCTCCCTTATCATACTACACCAGCCATCTGCCCACTGTGAGCCTGGGATTCCACCTGCCAGCTGTTGCCCCGGATCTACCCGGCACGCGCTCGACCTCCAACGACCAGCGCTTGCTGTATTATTCTGTGACTCCTGAGAAAAATACATTCACGATCTTGTACGTCTATTTTTGTGCCATGCAATCTTAAACATTTGGTTTTGTGACGCATTCTACATTGTTCTGGCAAATTCTTTCAAATCTGTCACCATGATAACTTTATCTACGTAGCAAACACAGATGAGGTTGTATAATTTGCAAAAATCACTTGGTTAGTTAACAAATATTTTAATATTTTGCAAATAAAAGTAATATTTGAAAAAAAAAATATTGTGAATTGATAGCAATATGCTTTTTATTTGAACTTGATTGATAAAACAATGGTGTTCAACAAGCACAAGAACTTGAATCCAACTATAAAAAGTGAATATAGTTCAAATGTCTAGTATAATTTTTATATTTTTGCTATCTAATGATTTGACATCCTGCCATTTTTTGTGTCTTTGATGCTCAAACACTTTTTGAAGCAATTTAAAAAGTAGCAAAACTTTCCCAAAAAAGGTTAAATTATACATTTTAAGTGATAAAACAATAGTGTTCAACAAGCATGTGGGCACAGACTATCAAACTTGAACCTACAGGGAAATACAACAACAACAAAAAAATATATATATATATATATATATATATATATATATATATATATATATATAAATTCTTGACACAATTTTGTTAAAATGATTTTATTTAAAAATAAATAAATAAATGACTCAAGAAAGGGAATATAGTTCAAAGCTCTAGCATAATTTTTATATTTTATCTAATGCATACGCATTCACACATTTTTAAGCGTGTCTTAAATATAAAAAAAAAATTGAAATGAAACAACTCAGATATTATGATGTAAATTCACAAAAGTAACATGTTAGTTTATTTAAGCGAAAAGTAACCTGATTATGTAATATGCTGCTCCCTAACACCGCCGACGATGACCTTAAAATTGCCTTTCTCAGAATCAGTGCTGTTATGGCAAACCAAACAGTTCAAATCCCTCTGAATTCAACAGAACCGTTAGTCAGCGTCATAATTAATCATTCAGATGGAAAAGTTTCTGCGGCGTGAATGAAAAGAACTGCAGGGGCTTTGGCGGGTGATTCATATGCGACCTGCCGTCAGCTCAGCCAAAGAGTGTTCAAGCACGGAAGTCCTTGGAATGTTCCCGGACCGATTCAGCCAGAGCCTATTGATGAACAGCCATTTAATCTGTAAGGAATGACTCTGTGAATGACTAAAACAATAGTGACTCTTGGTCTATGCCCAAGCCTGTCATTCTAAACATGCTCCTACTTGTGGTAATGGAACTCTCACGCAGGGCTACACAGCACTCATGCTAAAATCACTGCACGCTAAGTAACTGATAATTGCTGGCATTTAATGGTGTAATTGCAGTGGGATCTTAACACGGCTGTAATTGCGGCTCTCATTAGGAGTGACAGGCTGTCTGAATACCCAGCAGCACAGAACCATACCCGGCGTGGTTCCGTCAAAGGCATAAACTGCAGATGACCAGGGAAAAGTAAGGAAAACCATCTTTCTTACAGCTTTGACTGAGATAAAGATGACCTACTGCTATTCATCATTGTTATAGAACATCAGCTATACAATCAGACTGAGCTTAGGAAGTATTTAGTAAATTAGCAAGCTACTTTTTGTACTTGAACCACAATATCCGAAATTAGAATAAAGTAACAAGACTTTCTAATTGATTCTTCTGAGAACAAAGGCTTTTTTTTTTTTTATAAGTTCGCTATTTTTCATTAAATTAAGGGGGCTAAAAAAGGAGACAAAAGCACCATAAAATAAAATAAAAGTAGTTCAAATGACTCATTTGCTATATTCAATGCTTTCGAAGTCATGTGATAACTTCCCGTGAGGAACAGAGCAAACTTTAAGTCATTATTTAAAAAATTCAGTCCTTTAAGACTGATGTTCATTTGAATCAATGCATTAATGAATCATTCTTTGAGTTGGATCTTTTCAATGAATCGGTTGATCTGGTTCACAGAAGTACAACTTACTGATTCAATGATCCAGTTGTAGAAGTTAACAGCTCACTGAAGGGAAAGCATATCAGTGAAATCCAACTTAATTTTAGGTCTTTTCATTACACAAAGTTATCAAAGGACTTCAGAAGACTGAGTCATATGGACCACATTCATGATGTTTTAATGGTGCTTTTGAGTCCTTTTATGAAACTCAAAAGCTCCAGTCCCCATTCATTATAAATGAGTGACTAATACAACCAACAGAATTTCTCATTTTGTATTCCAGAGAGGAAAGAAAGACATAACACAATTGTCATTTTGAGTGAACTTTAGACTACCTTTGAGAAACTCATTCAGAACAAATAGATAGTTCACCCAAAAATGAAAATTCTCTCATAATTTATCAACCTCAAGTTATTCTGAACCTATATCTTCTGTTAGTAACCAAACAGTTCATGGTAGCCATTGACTTCCATAGCATTTTGTTTTCTCCATACAATGGAAGTCAATGGCTACCATCAACTGTTTGTTCACCAACACTCTTCAAAATATCTTCTTTTGTTTTCAGCAGAAGAAACAAACTCTTACAGGTTTGAAACAACTTGAGGGTGAATAAATGACAGAATTCTCATTTTTGGGTGATCTATCCCTTTAAGGCTCCACTAAAGCACCTTTATCGCTTCCACCTTCCTTTGCAAAATCAGAAGAGAACAGGTCGCTTATCAGCTGGCTGTTTTTCGCTCTCGTTGACTGTTAAAGTTAACATCACTCTGGCTGATGCTTCCAGCTAGTGGAGACAGAGGAATAGCTTCTCATCAGTGACGCGCCAATCGCTGTTGATTTGAAACGGCTGCGACAGCAAACAGTCGATAAAGTCTTTAGCGAGACAGCTCTCTGCAAACTCTTAGCCGTGTAATTAGCTCCCCCTCAGTAACACCAGGAATCTCAACACAAAAGAGAAAGAGGCTGCGTCCTATAACGGCCGTCAATAAGGCATGGTGAGAAGTGTCACGGTGCCATCAAATACCCGAGCTTCCTCTCTCTGCCACTAATGACTGCCTTTGCAAAGCAGTCTGTTAAAACGATAACAAGTGGCACGTGTTTCATCAGACCCTAATGGTCCACCAGTGCCTTGCCCAGTGCCTGATGGGATTTTTGACAGCCAGACAAAACGTTGATTGGCCAAAAGGTAATGAGGGGGAGGCTTGTGTCAGCAGTGCTGTAAGAAAATGGCCAGCTATTTGGACTAGCGTTTCTCCACCAATAATGGCCCTTAAACAACTCACAGAGAAGTGACGATTTAAGGGCTCTCGGCTTGTCAGAATGACTTTCGGTCCATTTGCCTGCGGCACAGGTCCACTGGCCCATGTGATCATAAAATACACATGACACCCTCTACAGTATGTTTGGCTAGAAATTCTTTCCAAAAGAAAGAAAATCCCCAATGAGATCCCATTAGCATCTCAATTGTTTCTACTAGACAGCAATGCAATCAAACGTAGAGCAAATTAAAGCTTTTAAATGAACGTTTCCTATTCCAGTACTCTCATGTGTCTCTAGAGTTTACAACCAAAAGTCAAAAATCTAAAAAAAAACTGACTCATAAAAACAGACAGACAGACAGACAAGTAGACAGATAGATAGATAGATAGATAGATAGATAGATAGATAGATAGATAGATAGATTTAGACTTATTATTATCAATGTTGAAAACAGGTGTGCTGCTTAATATTTTGTGGAAACAAAGATACTTTAAGGATTCTTTGATGAATAGAAAGTTCAAAAGAACAGCAAAATATATATTTTGTGACATTATTAATGTCTTTATTTTTGATCAATTGAATGTGTCCTTGATCAATAAAAGTATTAATTTCTTTAAAAAAAACTTACTGATCCCAAACTTTAAACAGTAGTGTATCAAATATGTTTCTACTGTTATTTCTTCTAAGGAAGCTAGATCTGATTAAACCAGTCTGGTTTAAGCAACGAAGCAACACAGCTAATAACTCCACTATATCTCCTGAACTATGAAAGAGCAACCTCTGAGAAACAAACATCTTCACTAAACAAAATCACTCAAAACACCAAATAACAAATGTTTAAACCTACCATGGTCTTCTGACACTGTATGCTAGTGCTGTTGAAGCGTAATGCAGTGACACTGTACTCCTTCCCCTGAATATAGAAGATACACTCGTAGTTCCTCTGTCCAGACTGAGGCTGCGGAAGATTCCGGGCCAACAAGGTGATGGGCTTCATGACACCAACAGGGATGTAGATCTGAGTGGACGGCAGGATCTGAGGACACTCCTGCAAACCAAAACAAGAGGATAGTCTTCAGAAATGTTTTGATATTTTAGATATAGAAAACGTGACTGAAGAGACTCCTAAATCTCAATATTATGTCTGTGAGGTGAAAATTCAAACATATAATCACTTTAAGGGTTCATTCTTGTTTATAGCACACACAACAGACTGTACATAACACAGCGTTTATCTTTGTCATGTGTTTTATACACAGAGACATCACATGAAACTGCTCTACACAAAACATAATGACTTGCTATTATAATTATGAGATTAAAATAACGGCACTAAGGTGCATCTAAAGAAGATCAAAAACACTTTTGATCTTACTACTCGAGTAAATGTGGCTATTCAGACATGGCAGCCCCTTCAGTGATGAGCTGAATCAAGAGCGAGTGAAGGCGAGCATATGAAGGATGCGAGGAGGACTTCAAGGCCATCGCCACCGTTGTCATGCCAACAGATTGGAAACCAGGGCACAGAGCAAGATGCAATTAAGCTTTTTGAGGGCGTGTGCCATTTTAAAGACTTGGCATCGGCACCCGAGTTATGATGCCAACTGTGCACTTTAACTAGGCAGCAGCAGAACCATGGGCACGAGATCTTACCAGGCAAGACCTCTCCTCAAATGTAGATAATCCATGTCTAGTATTTGGCATAAGTGCATTTATATTACAAATTAAAAATGACAATTTTCTGCTTGAAAAAATGAGTAAATGGCATAGTGAGGTGGCAGCTGGATTTGCCCACATACTGTTTTCACAGACACATCTCACGTGCAACATATAAAACCTAAACAAAAAACTCAAGCAGTACATGATAGAAGGATACAGCTAGATCAAAGCAGCAACCTTTCTATTGATACTTTGATGCAGAAGGAGGGTAAAAAAAATTGTGGTGATGCATCAGCTGGTTGAGGGAATCTCACAAAACTAGAAAACATGTTGATGTAATTTCTATATATAATATATAATTCTATACATAAAATTGAATATTTATAATGATCATTATCTGCTTAAGGATTATTGGGAAATTATAAGAGATTATACCATATTATATGGTGTAGGGCAATAGAAAATACGGTTTGTACAGTATAAAAACCATTACGCCTATGGAGAGTCCCCATAAACCATAAAAACAAACCTGTGTGTGTGTGTGTGTGTGTGTTCCATTTATTATTTAAGATATATTTACACTTTTCACTTTTTATACAATGAAAATAAGCATTGTATAAAAAAAGTGAAAAGGGTATAAATATATCTTAATTATTAAATATTTAAATATTTTTATAATAAAATGTATTTATTATATTAATCTATTACATTATAAATTAAATATTTTATGTACATAAATGTATATAGCTTTTTTTGGTTGGGGTGACATGACTCAAACACATGAATTTATGAATGAATGAAACAAAAAAACAAAACAAATAAAATAAAATAGTGACCTGGAGATGTTTTTTGCAATGGATCCAGCAATTCATGGTATTGAATGATTATCATATTCACGCATCATATTTACACAGTACTTCAAATAATACATGCACAAGTATATATATACTATAAAAAAAAAACATCCCCCCCCCCCCACAAAAAAAAAAAAAAAATTTCTAGGAAATGTATAAAAAATACAATACAG